TACTGCTCCTGTCCTGCAATAAACGGCTCCTACTCCTGCTGTATCAACGTACACAAGTTGCTCGTCACCCCCCTGATTATTTTGCTGCAGCCAGCAGGACTGCGGCAGGAAGGGAGGACTGTCTCTTTTGCTGGTGGCAGTCCTGAGAGGGAATGTTTGGATTCTTCTGGGTCACGTTAAGGACCAGCTGTGCATCATCTGCATGGAGACCCTGAGCAGTGTTTGGACAGACTGGGAGACTGAGTGTGCTCCCTCCGTGGCCACCTGCCAAGGGATGGTACCTGAAACTATGAACCCAGACGGCCACTCCAGGGAATGAGTGTAAGTTCGTGACACAGGAGAGATACGGCCATGCACTGATAGGGCCCACGGCTGGAGGCTGGGAAGCAGAGGAACAAGCAAAGTAGGTTTGTCCCAAGAAAATGCTTGCCCCTCTGTGTGGACTGAGGCAGCCATGCCGTCAAAGCTGATGCTCGCCCCACTGCCTGTGCATGGTGGCTTGCAGCTGCTCACAGGAAGTCGGACTCTACAATACTGCAAGTCCCACATCCTGGGCACAAGTGACCACATGTGTGGCTTGGAGCCATGAAATGCCATTGCCTCCACCACCATGTGAAACCCATGCAGTCCAGCCAGGACTAGCAGTGTCAGTCCAGGGAACCTGGGGACATAGCACCCTTGGCAAGGACACTGGTGGGCTCATAAGAAGACCACCATCAGGGTACCAGTAAGACTCCTCTGGGTGCCATTCTGGGCAGCCACATTGACCTGCACCAGGACAGGGAGAAAAGACATGTTCTTTGAAAAATGTGGAATAAAACCTGGGGACACCTGGAACTGACTGTAGGATTTCAAAGCCTTCATCATTCAGATAACTTATTTATTATTTGTGCAGATGAAATAAAATATACTGCATCTATGATAAACAAGAAGAGCATTCTGGAAAAAAAAGTAAGAAAAAACACTTCGGCAAATCTAAAACTATTCTAAAATAGAAGGTTTGAGGCAGGTATGTCAATTATGAATGCATTTAGCTACAAGTAAAAGAAAGCCGATCAACAATGGCTTAAAGCAGACAAGAAACCTGATGGAAGCAGACAGCGGCTTCGGAATCTTTGTCCACTGCCACTAACCTGTCAACTTGAGGTTTAAGCATTGAAACTGCATCCGAGGCTAAAGGAAGGAGGAAGGTGGGGAACATGGCATTAGCTGAATATGTCCTTTTTATCAGGAGAATATAAAGCCTTCCTGTTGCCATCTATCCTAGCTAGTGATCTAATGCTGGTTTCACAAAGTCTGACCATTCCAATAACTCAAGAAAATGACAAAGAAAGCAGGCAACCATACAGAATTACCTTTTCAATAATCCAGAGAGGGCTCTGCAAACTTAAGCGTGCTTGGAAAAAGAGAGCTACCGTAATTCTTTATTCTTATATAGGGAACACACAAGAGGAGGTTCCATGGAACATTCTATCCTAAAAAGGGCAAAGGGGTGGGATTATAAAGGAAGAGGTGAGTGTAGCTCAACCCCTACGGGCGACATCTACACCTGGAGCCATGCCTTGCTATCCCAAGTTACTGCCAAGACCTGGCACTATTGTGCCAGTCTGAAGGCAATAATTGGTCAGTGCCTCGGGCATCGGAACTTGAAGCTCTGCATCCAGGGCAGCTCTCGACACCTTCCTAAGAAACCACCCACGGCCCTGTGGCTACACGGGCAGCTGGGCAGCTGTTGTAGTGAGCACTTAGCTATCCCAGTCTCCAAGATGGAGGAAGCGAGAAGGGTTGGAATGGGTGTTGTCCTAGCCTGCCACTGGGGAAGTCGTGTGTTTAAACTTGTGTTTTTAAACCCTTGTTCTGGATACAGAGTGAAGAAGAGTTAGGAGGTCCCAGGCCTAGAGGGAAAGATGGGTGAGGAAGAGTAGTCAGACTTCACAGCCTGCAGCCAAGGCAGTCTCTACTATAATGACATTTGTCACCAAGGCCAGAAGTCCCCACATGCCCTTGAGGAGGCCAGGAGAGCCCTGCAGGGCTGGGGGTAAAGACCAGTTCCACCTCTGCCCAGGAACCAAGGGTGAGTGTATTGGCCCACCAGGGACCCACGGCCAACTGGACCCGTGGAATTTCCTCTGGAGAAGACTGCCAGGCCCAAAGGTCTCTGTCTGCAACCCCAGAGACAGGTGGTGTTGGTGGGCCAGAGTGGGCCATGTTTGGGCCATGTTCCTCCAGGGCTAGGTCCAGCCAAGGAGCACAGGGCTAGTATGCAATGTTGAGCCAGTAGGACCAGCAAGTCTTGGGACAAGGTTGACCCTCTGAGCAGGTGTACATGCTGTGCACTGGCAGAGTCCCCCATAGAATGCTCCCTCAACAACAGGAGCTGCAGGAACTGGTCAGACCCTGCAGGGCCTAGGGCCACTCTTGGACAATCCCATGTTGAGAGAAGTCACGGGAAATCCTGGTGCCCTTGGGAGCCAAGAGCTGCTCCAACTCCACACCCCAGCCTGCTCCTCAGGCCCTGAGCCCCCAAGAACCAGCAAGGAGGGCACACAAGTCCCCCTCAGGCTGAAGGGCCACCTGGAAACTCTCCTCCCAACCCAGAGAAATCCCCAACTTATCAGAGCATCCTGCCACCCAGTGGCAGGCAGCTCAGTGGGGCCTTCTCAGGTGCTTCTGTAAGGACCCCACTGGGAGAAGTAGGTGTAGGGGGTGGAGAGGAGGCAGGCAGGCCTGGGGGAAACAGAGGCTCAGAGGGAGAGGGGAGAAGCAAGAGACACAGGAGGACAGAAGAGGGTGCAGGGTGAGAGGACGAGAGCCAGGACAGAGCAGTAGAGGGGAGGGAATTAGAGAAGAGGGGCAATGAGGGAGGGTACGCAGGGCCTGGCAAAGGGGGCAGCAAGAGCAGAGGGAGGCAGTCGGGGCAACAGAAGGTGGCCCAGAAGGGAGGCCGGAGGCTAGAGGGGAGGGTAAGGGGCAGTTATGGGCAAAGAGCGCTCTAGGTCACCTAGGGGAGGGGCTGTGCCAGGACCAGCTCTGTGACCTGGAGCACCTGTGTCACCAGGCTGCTTCCCAGATGATGGAGGCCGATTCTGTTTGTTTGTTTAATGAAAACAACCCCACAGCATTTATTGTTTTTGATAATAACATAAAGGCAATCAAAACAATATGAACAAATATTTTAGAACTGTACTCTGGACAAAGGCCACACACACACCTGACACACCTGTCACACACCTGCACTGCCTCCTCAAAGACTTGTCACTCCTGGGTCATCCTGGATGGAAACACTGTGTATCATCGTCACAGCATGTTGGAGCTGGTTGCTTTCTGGGCTTGGTTTGGGGTGAATCTCTGGCACGCAACTACTAGGAGCTCACATGCTCCCCAAAACCTACCTGCAGCCCCCTGGGGCATCGTCACTTCACTGCATGGTCACCATTATAGGAACTGGGCCCAAGGCGGGGAGTGGCACCTCTGTAGGGCTGAGAGAGAAGCCAGGCAGGGCCACACAGCCTGGCTCACCATCAACCCCAGCCCTCTGCAGGGACAGGTGAGGTGATCCAGCCACGGTGCCCACAGAGCTTAGAGGCCAGCTGCCTCCTATTCTGCTCCCTGCTTGGCAGGGAGGGTCTGTACAATCAGCAGTGAGTCACTGCAGGAGTTGGCTCCTGGCTGGGAGGAGCGGCCGGCCCATCCCTGTGCGTCCCAGGAGACCAAGCCCTGATGCTGGTTGACCTGGACACTGCTCCAAGCCCAGCCCTGGCAGCCAGGGGCTCCCTGAGCCCTGAGGTGGAGAGATGGGAGGGAAGTTGGAGGGAAGAGCGGGAGGGAACACGACTTCAGGTACAGAGGGTTTGTCACACAGGATGGTTCTGGAAACCCAGCAGGTGCAGACCAGAGCCCACCCTGACCTCCCCCAGCACAGCCAGGTCTCCCCGCCGCAACCTCCCACCTCCTTCCTCCGCTCCCGGTGAAAGGGCGATGGTCGAAGGTCAGGGGTCAGATGTTGAGCCCTAGTTGGAAACCAGGGGTCATCTTGAGCCCGGGTTGGCCAAGCCAAGTACAAATTCGCACCGGCCTCCCCTCTTTTTAACCTCACCCGGACCCTTGTTTCCCAGTGTCCTCATACATGGCGAAAAACAGGAACTGGACAATAAATAATTTATTGAAACTGGAAGAATAAATATGTGGGCAGAGTTACAAACAACTGTAAAAACCATTGACACGTATATACAGAGGACGCCGGCGGCCCGGGGGCGGAGCCTGGCGCGGTGGGCGTGGCTAGCCCTCCCGCGCCAGCCGCGAGCGCCCCTCAGAGGTAGATGGCTTATTTACAACGCAGGAAGCCGCCGGCGGCCGCGGGTCTCCAGACCCCACCCGACTTGTGCCAGCGCCCTAGGAGCGCCCAGCGACTGGGAAATCCGCGCTCGGCTCCCTGCGGGCCCCGCTACCCGGCGAGCGCCCGCGGAACTGCACCCCTTGCACTACCCTCTCCACCCAGGAGCTGTGGGCAGGGAGACTGGTGTAGACGCCCGGCCGGTTGCGCTCCGCGCAGCCCTCGCCCCAGCTAATGATTCCCGCCAGCAGCCAGGAGCCGTCCACCTGGCACATCAGGGGGCCGCCAGAGTCGCCCTGTGGGGAGAAGAAAGGTTAGGGACCCACAAAGGGCAGGCGGGGGGCAGACCCAGGCGGGACACGCCTTCCAGACCCACTTGAAGGGAGAAGCACTGTGTGCAGCGCCTTCTAAACCACAGATGGTGAGGGACGGGGCGTCGTTATTTCTGTTTTGCAGGTGAGAAAACTGAGGCTCAGAAGGAGGAAGTGAGTCGTCCCACGGGCAACGTGGGCGGCAGGAGAGGTGCCGCAAGCGGGCCTCAAGCCGGCCAAGCTCCGGGCCATTGCACACCCTGCCATCCTCCATGCCACTGTGGAGCTGGAGCTGGAGCTGGCCCTGGGGTCCCCCTCAGAAAGCAAGTTCCTAAGAGTGAGGGGGCGCAATTGTGTGCACAGTCCATGCATAGCCCGGCCAGGCTGAGCGGCTGCATAGGGACTGGGGAGGGGGCCTAGGCAGAGGTGTGGGGCTGGAAGCGCACGGACTCTGACTCCTGCCCTGGGTGGGCACTCGCCCCTCCTAGCCAGGGCCGCAGGGGTGGGCACTCACCAGACAGGCATCCCGCTCCCCTTCCAGGTAACCAGCGCACAGCATGTCCTCGGTGATGGTCTCCTGCCCCGCGCCGCGCCAGTACAGGCGGCTGCAGAGGTCCGAATGGATGATGGGCACCTTCAGCTTCTGCAGGATCTGAGGGCGTGGCAGGGGCACTGGGGACAGGAGGATAGAGTCGGCCAGGTTCCCCTCCCACTTGTCTCCTCAAGGGGCAGGTTCCCACCATTCCCTTCTCAAGGGCCCACAGATCAGCTCTACTGATGGGGATTGACCTCAGGGCCTCCCACATGCTACCACTGAGCTACATCCCCAGCCTTTTTTTTTTTTTTTTTTGTATTTAGAGACAGGGTCTCACTGAGTTGCTTAGCGCCTCAATAAGTTGTCGAGGCTGGCTTTGAACTCATGATCCTCCTGCTTCAGCCCCAAGCTGCTGGGATTACAGGCATGCACTACTGCCCCCCAGTCAGATTCTTCATCTTTAATAAGTCCTCTGATGCTCATAGGGCAGCCCTGCTGGTTCCCATCTCTGGCACTACTTGGTGCTGTGTGACTACTAGAGTAAGGCTCAGAGGTGCCCCATCCATGCTTACTGTCATCAGCCTCTCAGGGAGGCTGCCTAGAATTGGTTTACAGACCCATGGGGAGGCTGCAACCTCAGAGTTGGGGGAGTCCCCAAATGCACGAGCTGATGTCATTTCTCCTCATTTTTCTGGACTCTGGTAGGGTCCCACTTTCCTCCCGCTTTGTCCTTACAAGTGGTCTCTGTCTGTCTTCCAGCCCTCCCCACATCTCTCATCTCTCATTTCTGCCTGGGTTCCTTTTTCTTGGCCTGGGCTCTGTCTACCTGTCATCTGTCTTCCTCTTGCTTACCTCTGCCTCTTGCTCTAGTTCGTCTGCTTTGTGACTTTCTAAACCTGCGGACTTACTGGAGACTGCATCTCCTGGAATGTTGCCTGCACTTGTGGCATGCTGCCACCAGGGTGCCTGCTCTGGCTTTGCAAGCTCAGGGTGGTTTTCATTTCACCCTGAATCCAGCCTGGCCCCCTACACCCCCTTCCTGCCATTTCTGTGTCAGTGAATCGCTTTTCTGATCTGGCTGTTGTTGTCTTGAAACACAGCTCTTGTCTCTGTGATGCTGTGCCCTGGCCTCCACCCCTACTCCTCCTGGTAGTGTGTCTCTGAGTGCCTGCCACCCACTGTCCCCAATGCCCTTGGCCCCCCATGGGTGGGGAGGAGCCACACCTCCTTCGTGGATGCTCCCCCAGCCTGCAATCCAGCAGTCGGTGTTCGGAGGGAAATGGACAGAAGAATCAGGTAGGCAGATGGGCAGGATTCGCTCAGAGAACTGGATGGAGTGTTCAAGGCGCACCAGGGCAATATCTGCACGGGTCCCATCCTTCCAGGAGTACCCAGGATGGGGCAGCACCCAAGCGATACCCACATCCTGGGACCGAGGGCCAGGGTTCTCCAATTGCCAGGCCCCCAGTAGCACTGAGAACAGGGATGGCTTGTTCAGATTGCTGCAAAGAAAGAGGGGAGGGGATCAGCCAGGAAGGGTCCAGGAGGGGACGCCTGGGAAGAGGGCAGGGGTAGAAGGCCCCGGGAGGCATCTGGGCAGAAGGAAGGTTTCTATTGAAGGGCAGCAGATCAGACAGAAGTCTGGGGGCAGGGGTAGGATGGGGAGCCTAGGGTCTGAACCCAGCGTGGGTTCTGGATGAGCTGGCCATACGTACCCCTTGAAACAGTGGGCTGCAGTGACCACCCAGCGGTTGGTGAGCAGGGAGCCTGCACAGTGGTGGGTGCCGTTCTTCTGGATGCTCACAACCCAGGGCCACTCAGCATCCACACTGTCCTGGCCACCCACGATTCGGTTCAGCTGTTGGGGCTTCCCGCAGTCTGGGGACACTGGTAAAGGAGGGACGAGTTTTCCGCCATCTCTAGTTTTCTTCCCTGCCCACAGTCTGCCACCGCATCCTCGGCCTGTGCCAGAAAGCTGTGCCCTCCCCGTGCCCTCTGAGGCTACTTCTGCTACTTGCCTCCCTGCTGCCCACTCAGCTGTGCCCCTGGGCCCCTCTGTCCCCTTGGACTCTGGCCCCTTTCCCTGCTCAGGCTCCTTCTCCTCCACCTCCCACTCTCTTCCCTGCCTGCCTTCTCCTCTAGCTCCGTCCCCCTCTTACCCCAGGCTGCCTTCTGACCTGCCCCCACACAGACGGACACACAGACACCCATTCCTCCCCTTCAGCACGTCAGCTCACACTCACCAGGAATCTTGGTGGCATTGAGGGTGGTGGCTGAGGGTAAGAAAAGGAGGGAGTCAGGGCAGTGCCAGGGGAGCCCCCATCCTCTCAAGCAGGCTCATTCCCAGGGCCCCTCCAGCCCCCAAGGGGTACTTTCTGGGACTGGGGCAGACAGAGCTCAGGCCCCACTGTACAGGGGTGGCCTTATCCTCCCTCCTGCTCTGTCCACTGCCATGGAAGGAAGGGTAAGAGAGGAAAGGGAGGCTCAGGACTCAGAACCATGGGTGCCCCAGGCTTCTTCCCTGAGCCCCACGGAGCCTGGATGGGGCTGTCCTCAGGGCCCTCCCCCCTGACATCCTACCCCAGGAACATGTGGAGCTGGCCCCAAATGTAAGCCATGGAGGAGTAATGGGGAGATGAGAAAGACAAGGGGAAGGAGATGAAGACGGTGAAGATGAAGAGGGAGAGATAATCACCCACAAGAGGGAAGCACACTGAGTGCCCGCCGCCCTGCACCTTCTTCACGTAATCCTCACAGCTGCTGAGGAAAGTGAGGTTCAGAGAAGCTACATAGATGCCAGAGCTGGGCAGAGAGGTGCATGCCTGTAATCCCAGCCACTTGGGAGGCTAAGGCATGAGGATTGCAAATGTGAGGCCAGCCTCAGCAACTTAGTGAGGCCCTAAGCAACTTCGAGAGATCCTGTCTCAAAATAAAAAAAAATAAAAAGGGCAGGGATGTGGCTCGGTGGTGAAGCATCCCTGGATTCAACCCCTGGTGTCAAAAATGATGACATGTCAGAGAGAGGGAGGAGAGGGGAAGGGGTAGAAAGAGGAAGACGGAGGAACAAGAGAGAGAAAAGTAGGGGCCAGATTCCAGGCAAGTCTGGCGGGAAGCTGCTAAGTCCCAGGGAGGCAGGAGGGAGCCTGGCACAGAGAGGAGGGGGAGGAGCAGCAGCCCTCGGAACTCACCTGTGGAAACCAGAAGCAGCAGAGTGGTCAGGGTCCTGAGACAGCCCCCTCCCAGGGCTGGGGGAGGTCTGGAAACCTCCATGGCCAGTAGGGGTGGAGGCCCAGCCAGATGGTGGCGTCAAGGGACGTGAGGGCTGTGCTGGTTGGGACAGGCAGGGCGGGTGGCTGTAGTGTGTTGGGTCCCCTGCAGGTTGCCCCGGTTTTATCCTGTGAGGTGGAATGCTGTTGGACCAGTCCCCGTGGCTTAGTCTGTAGGTCACAGAGGAGGCGGTGCTGCAGGGAGGAAACAGCCGTTACCCGGGGCTGGGGGCTCTACCTCAGGCCTCGATGGGTGGGCTGGGGCCCAGGCTCCTGGGTGTCAGTGATGAAGTCTGGAGGGGCAGGTGAAGGGACCTGGGCCCAGAGGTCCAGGCTGTGGTCTTGACATTGACTGTCCAGGTGAGGAAGTGTCCTCACAGCATTGAACATGGGTCCAGCATGGGGAAGGGCTGGGTCCAGCATGGCAAAAGTCTGGGTGCAGGGTGTTGGGGAGCCCCAGGGCATGGTGGCCTTGGCTTGGGCTGTCAAGGGGAGGGCCCAGCTCACTAACGGCTCCCACCTCCAGGGGCCCCAGCTGCTGTGACTCAGCCCAGTGACCTGGTCCTACCCAGGGCTCTGGAATCCCGTTAGCCCACTTCCCGGAAAGCTGTGACTCAGGTCAGAGTGGCGGAACACAGTGGCCTCTTGGCTGCTGTCCGAGAGATCCCCGAGGCTGCCTTCCTGTTGTCCCTGCTGGAGGGGCTCAGCCCTGTCACTGGGTTGCCAGGAAGAACTCACTTCTCACCAGGACTCCCAGGAAGGGGAAGAGCCAGTGGCCACCTGGGTCAGGCCAACCCAAGAGGGAAGGACTGGGACTACTGGAGTCTGCCACCCCCATGTCCTGGGACCCCTGCAGGGTTCAGAAGGCTGTGGGGCTGGTCTGTGGGAAGCCCTGGTTGGGGTGGACTTGATCTACTTCTACCTGGTGGCAGCCACCTGGGACAAGATTGGGGCAGTGCATCCTCCCAATCAACACCCTGCACTTGTGACACCCTCTACTCCAAGAAGGGACAAATGTCCTGTCCTCCCCTAGAGAGATGAGTAGGTCTCTATCCTTCCCTGCCCTTCAAGGTTGGGCCCTCGCCATGGCAGGAGAGAGGGATGGCACTGATGCCACCATGTCTCATGCACCGCGGGCAGCCTCATGCCACCTCGAATTCCTTCTCCATCCCCATCCTGCAGACAGAAACTGAGGCAGCCTGGGGAGTTGCGTGATCTGCCCCAGGTCCCAGCTGGTGGGTAAGTGGTGGAAACAGGCTGTTGGGACTGGACTTGGGGGCTGGGTCCCATGGGCAGAGTGTTATTATTATTGCACAGGGTCCTACGGCTGGGCAGGGGGATGTTGGGAGCCCAGAGGAGGTGCCTGGCCCGACTGTTGGGAGCCCTGAAGAGAGGCTGCTGACACGGGAGCCTGCAGAACAGACACTATTGGCCCCACAGAGCATGGGGACAGGGAGAGGACATCACTCTAAGAGAAGGGGAGATTGGACAGAGGTTCTGGAGAGCCGTGGCTAGTGAGGGAAGGCAAGATAACCCAGGTCAGAGAACCTGGGGCAAGCCAGGCTCCCTCTGAAGCTGCACAGCCTGCCCTGGTAGAGCCCCTGTGCTGCCCACCTTCTCGGTCTCTTAGGGGTCAGGGTGGCAGCAAAACCCAGCTGGCACAGTGGGTCTGGTGGGGCCTGCCTGCAGGCATTGGGTAGCAAGAGGACGGTCACCCTGTTTTCTCCATGCTCGCTGCACTGTGGTCAGGAGGGCTGAGGCAGCTCATGGCTGATCTGCAGACAGACATGGCAGAGAGAGGGCCCTGCCCTGGCCCACCAAAGAATTGCCTGGAACTGGGGCCACCGGAGCCCCTGGGGGTACATGACTCTGCCCCAGGATTCAGGGGTCACTATAGGAGAATCACCATGTGGAGTGGCAGGGGGGAGGCCGTTTCTCTGGGCACCCTCCCCAGCAGAACAGAAATGCTATGGGGGGGCACTTGCTTCCTCTCTGCCCTACCCTGGCCCCCTGGGCCCTGCACTCCTCCAGCTGCTCCCCCTGAAACAAGCTCACTTGACAGACATTTGGGCACCTGCTGTCTGCCAGTTCTTAGCTGGGCACCAGGACGGGGGATGGGAAGAAGACACAGGTGCTGCCACAGGAAGCTCACGTCTTCCCAGGTGGGAGGAGGCAATGAGTAACGAAGGGAGGTATCTCAGGTGGGCCCTGCCGTGAGACAGAGGGGCCCTGGAGCCACACTCTACACTGTGCTATGGCTCCCTGTGGGAGGGTGCTGGGGGAATGGGAGGCTCCTCAAGCTGGTCCCTGTGCACATTGGGTCTCACTGGGGTGTTCATTGAGTGAATAAATGAGCATGAAAGTGTGCCTCTAGGGGTATCTGGGCACTGATGGCTCTAGCCTCCTGCCTCTCCACCTCTTTTCCCCTTGCCCTCCCCATTTCTTCTCCATTCCAGCTCTTCCTGCCTTTCCAAAGACCTGGCTTACTGCCCTGGAGACCCAAGGGCAGACAAGCCCAAGTGTTGCTATCCTTGGGGTGGTCAGGAAGAGGCCCAAGGAGAAGGCCCTGTGGAAGCCAGAGATGCTAATGAAGACTTCATGGCACACGTCCTGGGAAAGAGCCCCAGAGACCGGTTCCCGATTCCCAGGGTGTAGACAGCAGAGTCCCTGAAGGCCTGGGGGTGGAGACTCTGGCATGATTCAACCTCCATTCAACAAAATATTTACTGAGTGCCACCATGTGCTAGACCCACGCAGGCATCCTGGCTGGGCATTGATTTGCCTGTGCAAGAGATGGATGAGCTGCCCACTCATGCCACCCACACCCCATGTCCCTACCAGTCTGGTCTCAGGGCCGCTGATCATCTTGCACTGAGGTGTTGATGACTGATACAGCTGCAGGGACATTTACATGCTAGCACAGCTGGTGCTGGTGATGCACAGACCAGAGAGGTGACTCACCAGTGGAGGCGGTTCAGATGTATGCCTAGGAGTCAGGGGACACATTCTGAACAGGGGTATCTATTCATTATCCAACCAAAAGCAACTAGGCATCACCTACTCCTGCCAGAGATCTTGCTAAGCCCTGGGCAATAAGAAATCAGGGCAGTGTTCCTGCCTTCATTGAGTCAATCAGCAAGCATTGCTGAGCACCTAATGCATACTGGACTCTAAATGCTACAGATACCACAGTGAACAAACCCCCATGGTGTGGATTTTGAATAAAATCGAGAATTTAAAAAGTATGTAAATTGGTCTGAGTTGTGGCTCAGTGGTAGTGTAGTTGCCTAGCACATGTGAGGCATTGGGTTCAATTCTCAGCACCACATAAAATAATAAATAAATAAAGCTATTTTTAAAAGTATGTAAATCATTTAGTCTAATAGACAATAAGGTCTACGGGGAAAACCAAAACAGAGAAAGGGATGTGGCAGGGTGGGGAGCCCCCAGGGGACTGGGATAAGTGGCAGGTGAGGTGTAGAGGGAAAGCCAGCTGGAGGCTAAAGGCCTTTGACGTCCTGAGAGACCTGGGCAACCACAGCTCTGAGCAGAGACTAAGATCCCTGCAGCTGGCAGCGGCGGAGGCCCAGGATGAAGCCAGAATCGTCAGGCCCAGGAGAGGTGGTGCATGGGAAGGGGAGGGGAGTAGTGGGGGTCATGGCAGGGGTCAATTCTAGATCTTCTCTAGGGCCCTGTACATCTTTCCGAGGGGTTGAGAGCAGCAGCGCTTTTCCAAGGGCTTTGACCTGAGCCCTGGTCTGAGGTGCTGCCCAAGGAGGGGCTGCTGCCAGTCAGACAGGGTGGAGGTGGGATGGGAGAGACACACCAGATCTCTTGGCCTGGGGTGGAGGCCATAGGTAGGGGAGTTCCAGGGAGAGGTCGGCTGGCGGGAACCCTGGAGTCCAGAGCATGGGGGGCGGGCAGTGCCTGGATCTGCTGAGGTGGGCAGAAAGATGCTGTTTGCAGTTGGAGGCCAAAGAACCCCATGATCCTCGCCTGCCCATCCAGGCTTCAAGGACTCACATCCAACCCAAACAGGATGAGAACTGTGACAAGAGACAGGCACAGGTGACCCAGGAGTCTGACTGCAGGGAGTGTTCAGAGAACAGACAGCCACCCAGGCAGGGAGCCCCTGGCGGGGAGCTGGGCGCAGGGATGGGGCACTCAGTTGAAGCCAGCAGCCCACAAGGGCCTAGGAAGGAGGCTTTGCTCCATGATGGGAAGGGACTGAGGCCCAGAGCACATGGGCACTACAACATGCACCTTGAGAACATCATCCAAACGAAAGAAGCCAGACACAGAAGGACAAATACCACCAGATGCAGTGACGCAGACCTGTCATCTCAGCCACTCAGGAGGCTGAGGCAAGAGGCTGAAAGTTTAAGGCCAGCCTCAGCAACTTAGAGACCCTGGGTCAAAATAAAAGATAAAAATGGCTGGGGATGCAGCTTGGTGGTAGCACATTCAATCCCCAGTGCCAAAAACAAGTAAGTCAGACATACCCTGTGTGAGGCCCTGGAGAGTCAGACCTACGGAAAGGAGCATGGTGCATGCCAAGGGCATGGGGAGAAGGGGTGGGGACACAGCTTCAGCCTGGGGTGATGAGAATGTCTGGAGTGGACGTGGTGATGGCTGCTCACTGCCACTGAGCTGTCACTTAAAGAGGTTCAAATGTTGAACTGGATGTTACATACATTTTACCACAACTGAAAAAGTGAAAGAATCTGGATTCCCAGTTTTCCCCGATACATTGACAGCTCTGGACCCCCTCCCCTGGGTCTCTGTTGCCCTTGACTGTGGCAGGGTCCCCCACCCTCTCTGCTCTGTGACTCAGGCCACTGCCCTGAGTCAACACTGGCCCCCAGGGGTGCTGGGTTTTTGACCCTGCTTTTCGAGGCAGGGCTTGGGCAGGAGCAGACGCTCACCCTTCCGCGGGTCATTCTACTTTGCTCCTTCCTCCAACCTGGGCCTCAGTTTACCTGTCTGTGAACAGGACTGGTCAGC